CTTTTTTTTAGCTATTTCTATCAAACTGGTCAGAAAATTTAGATTCCTCTTATTTCATATATTGATTTATGCTATTTACTCTGAAAAAAAGTTTTCCACTTATTCATAACATGTTATTGTTTAACAGAAGTGTCTGCATTTTTTATTACTCTGACTACTTTTCATTATTGTAAATAAGGGGGAACAAACAGGGCCAGATCAGAACAGGTCTGATTACCATGCAATTAACGGCCGTATGATGAACTGTCCTCTCTTTGCAAAGATAAAATAAAGTGCCCACTGAGTGAAATCCATTGATCATTTATTTAAGTGGAGTGAAAAGTTGAATACTTTTTTCCAACGACACAAGTATGTCAACTTCTGTCAATGATGACGGCGCCATTGTCATTGGGTCTTTTGAAGGCCACAACGATGACCTGTTTAGCAAATAAACATCTCAGTTTCTTCTGCAATATGCTCTGGCTCTGAAATTCAGACACCATGTCCTTATGCGACCATATTTAGATGCTGCACACCCAACATGTCACCAATCAGGTCTAGAAACACTAAGGGTGAGTATTGGCATGGGTGTTGCTATTAAGATACATGCTATGACACTAGGGTCACAATACGATATTATCACAATATTGCAATATCATGAGCTTTTGGGATGTTTTTCATAGCTATCAAAATTAAATATATAGATAAAAGAGCAAGTGCTGTAAATGTTTATCAGAAGACATTGATCATTTTTATTATTTTGGTATCTATGTTGTTTGGGGTTTGAGTCAGTCCACGTCTTCACCTATGAGTGCCTCAACTTTAGATGTACAGGGCAGCTGAAAATCACGATATAACACTACTTGGTTTTTTCCCACACTCCTAACAAACATGATGTTTTTCAAGCTCATTGTAACCACCTGTTTATCCTGTGTTTGTCTCTTTCCAGGTACAAGAATATCGTGCAGCTTTGGACTTGCCGTCCTGCTTCTGGTGTGTGGCTTGGTGAGGGATGCCTTGTTATAATTTAAAGAACAGTCATAAGTCTCTCCCATATTCTAGCCCAACTGTTGGCTTTGAAAGCAAACAGAGGGAAAAAAAGAAAAAGTAATTGCCTGTTTTACCTCCCTTCGTAACCTGCTCACCATGACCCACCCCCTCTGGAGCTCTACCACGCGGACAGCACAGTTTACCCCTCATTTCCTCCCCACTTCTGCTCTTGCACTTAGCATATTGTTACTAGCCACTATAAACACCAGTCACGACTGCAGCGGAAGGATCACCTTTTTTCTACAGACGCCATCGGAGAAGCCGCGCGAAAAACACCTGGACTCTATCTCATTGGGTAACTCTCATGGAAGAATGACTTTCTTATTCGATGTTGACATTTCCGTGTTCATTGCTGAAAAGTAAACAAGAAAATCAAAGAATCTATATTTGTGTAGTATATATGATCCTAGATATATGTCTGTTTTATTTGAACCACATAGAACTAATGTATGTGCTGTATACATAGCTGCTGCTGATATCGGCCATGGATCATTGTGAATAGGCCCTCTAGCCTCCAGGTGAGATCAATCTAAAAACAGTATGTGTCAAATTAGACGATTGATGTTGAGCTTTGAAGTTAAAAGGTTCCTTCTGTTTCCGTTTCTCTTTCAGCCATATTAGCCGTCCGCATTTCAACTGTGCATAATTTTAACATCTTGTTAGTGATTCATTATAAGACATGCATGCTTGGGCTGAAGGTTTTAAAGCAGAGGAAAATATCAAACCTACACGAGGCCAACACTTGTTACGGCGTTATGAACTGCGTTTTTTTTAATTTTTCTGTGCTAGCTTTGGTGTGAAAATAATGCCCCTCCCCCCCTTTGTCATTTTAATTTGTAATGCAACCTAAGTAGGAATAAAACAAACAAAGTCTCTATTTTATGACTTATTGTAACTGCTGATGTGTGACAGCTGGATGACTGATTTTACACCAATGTTTCGCCCAGCGGGCGCCTCATCAGAGGAGGAATCTATTCAACTCTAAATTTCAATGGATCTGAAACCTGATCACACTTCTTTATAAAATGCAAACTATTTCTCCTGTTAAATATTGAATCGGAGGTAAATCATTTCCAAACTTTTTCCACCTTTAATGGGACACATTCTGCAAGATTTAACTCTCAAAAGAGAAAAAAATACATCCCCTAACTGAAGCCTTGATTCGCATTCATCAAAAGCAACACGTTGTTTAATGACATTGGCATTAAAATGTTTGCTATGGAACTGTGAAGACAGTCATGAATAATTTGGAAAAGAAAATATGGCACATGTGCTTGTGTTTCCCTAACATCACTAAGAGGATTGAAAGGTGCAGCATTAGTGCCATGTTCTGATTAGTACAACCATCTCCTGTGCTCCATGGGGACAACATGATATAGATAAATATAGCAAGAGATTAATACATGTAAATGTATAATCAAATACATTTCCAAATAAATAAATCTACCCTTAAATATCTAAAATATACCCTTAAATTAATATCCCTAAATAGTATACTCTACTAAATACTTGCCATTCTATCTGTATTTATTCATTTCACGGCGTCTTTGCAGTGTAAACTCCAATCAGGAGCTTTTGTTGCAGGACGATAGACAATTTGGGTTAAATTGATTCTGGTTTGATGACACCAAAGCTGCACTCCTGGGATCAAATTCTAAAAAAGGGCTAAGTCAACTCATTTTAAAATAATTAGATAAACACCACAAGCCAAATGTTAATGAGAAATTAAAGCTAAATATGCCAAGCCTTTCATCCTGATAGTGTTTATTTAGTCCTTTTTGAGCCTGAAAAGAGTTTTTGCACAGGGTGCAATTCATCAACCTATGCGATACTATATAGTGGACTTTATAGTGAACTTATGAACTGTCTGTTCAGACAGATGATTACTACGTTTTGCTCCTAATTGGTCACCATTGGACTCCAGCTCCCTACACGCATTCCATGATGCTGGGATATATCTGCTCAGGTTGTGACCATGGATGATCATACTTTACAAGGCATTTGTGGGAATTTTTGAGTCCACTACTTTTTCATCATCTAGACATTCAGACACTTGTATAAAATGACGTAAACCACTATATATTCCTCCTTATAGGGGTTAGGGCATATATACGGATACAGCCAATGTCTCTACCATACTAAAAGTATAACCTTTAGCACCATTGTGCTTTGGAATTGAATTTTCCTGATAATTCATAATGGTAAAATCTGCAAAAAGTCTCTAAAATCCCAGAGTCTAGCTTCAAACACATCAATTGGCTTCTGCGGTATTTTCTCATTTAATCTGAAGAAGTCCTATTTTTTTTTTTTACCTGTACATTTCTAGATACGTTACAAATTTGGAATGAATTTTGTCACTCGTATTCATCTATTTCTTGTTCTTGAGTACAGCTTGGTAGAAAGATGGACATTCCTCCATAAAGCTAAGCCAAAAAAACAAAAAACAAATAAAAGTTGTCAATTCACTGGTGTGCATGCATTTAAAGCTTTACTCTTACCAAAAGATACAGATTCAGGAAAATGGAGGCTGAATTAAGCTTAGCCTTGCAGGGAGTTCTGGAGTAGAGTGGCTGCTTCTTCAAACCAAAAGGAGTTCCCTAGTCTCCTTGGAGGATTTCTTCTAATGTCTCACAGGAATAATAGACAGGAAAGTAACTAACTGTTGTTAGAGAGACTATTGATGGAGAGCGTGGTTGTTCTATGTTCCTTCTGAGTTCCCATCAAGGATCTGACCCCCACACACTCACACACACACCACAAATAAGGGAAGAGGATGAGTAAATACGTCACATTTAAGGAGGGAAAAGTTTCGAAATGGAATAGTTTTCCGTTTCGACGCCACAAACCTGCCCTTTAACTATGCTTTTCTGTTTGTACACACATACCAGAGAAAGGCGATGAAGAAAAACTTTGCTAGTTATAATATTTACACCACTACCTTAAGGTGAATTGTGTTGGATTTGGTTGAACTTTTTGTTTTTCAGTTTCAAACAGAGCTCATGTATCCAAGGAGTTTCTCCTTTTTTCTTTTGTATGCAAATAAGATTTAGGATTAACACATTCTGACAATCTGATACAACATTTCCTGGACTAATTCAACATAAGAAAGTTAGTTTTTCCAGAGAAATGGTTTTAATTCACAGGGTTTAATTCAGACAACAAAGTGTTGATTTTAAAATAAACAACTGGCAGATTTTCCCAGAAAGCCAACCCATTGGTGAACTCTTGTCTCTCAAAGGCTATGCGCTAACAGCAACATCAGTGTACTTTGAAACTATGGGTTGCTGATTTGAGTCACAGCCCAGTCCTTGTGTCCTTGTGTCTTGACTTGTATTGGTGACACGCTGATGGTCTTTAGAGGGTCTGGTAGTCCCTGGTTTTGCTTCTGTCAGCGTGACCCATGGCAGCTATGGCTACAATGTTTTAGACAGGATGGGAATAATTTCCACTGTTATGTTGATGATACTCAGCTATATTTGTCCATAAATTGACACATTCATGAGGTGTTAAATTCTGAAACTATACATTAGTTTTATATAAATTCACAATGGTAAATGTTGCATTTAATCTATTAAAGGTGTTGTTCCTAAGGAGCCCATCTGGTGAGATGCACAGAAATGTTTTTTACAAGATGTTTAGTCATGGCCAGACGTCACTAATAAGTGGGTACGAGGTGGATAAGTTGTGGCCACAAGTTATGGTGAGGGAGCTCCTTAATGGTGGTGTAGCATTGAATGCGATTTAATTTATTTATATAGCGCCAATTCACAACACGTTATTTACAATTCACCAGATTATGTAGTTAAATTGATTCAAAGTTTTCTATCCAAGGAATACCAGGTGATTGCATCGACTCATTGACTCGAAGGCAATCCCTCACACTAAGCATGCTTGTAGCGAAAGTGAAGAGGAAAAACTCCTTTTGAACAGGAAGAAACCTCCAGCAGAACCAGGCTCAGTTTGAGTGGCCTCATTCATTCAAGAAACATAGAGAACAGACTTGATTTCATTTTATTTCAAATTGGAGTGAACTGTAATGACATCCTGTGATCTCTTAACTAAGAAACGGATGGAAACGTATGTGGGCATTGGCCATGTTATTGACTTCATCCAAAAGGTCCTGGAAGGACCCAGGGGACTGGATGTAGCCAGGTGGCATTTTAACCTGATCTAGTGTTGACCAAACAGACATGTAATGATGGATTAAACTTCATAAACCAATCAAATTACCTTGTTTCAATAGATATCTCATGTATAAGGGCTCATGAACACTTTGAAGCACCGGCGTGTAAATTTACAACAATCAAACACAACATAAAAACTCCAGAAATGTTAGCACTCCTGTTCCTGTAGGTTCTAGTCCACTACAACCTACCTGCATCATTAACCCAGCATGCATTGCACAGTTGAAAACATGGCGACCTCCATGAGTAGAAAATATAACTTTTAAAGAAAAGTTTTTATGTACCACAAGCAGCAATTTAAATGTTAAGAGGAAAATTACAACATATTTAGGCAGATATTTTCAAATAGTCACAGATCCTTATAATGTCATCAGAAAGAGACCTAAACTGAAAAGAATCTGTAATAGTGCATTTTTAGCCTAATTCAGCAATTCAAACTGCAACAGCCATGAATGAGAGAGCAGCAACTATCTCCTTTATATAATTATACCGAAGAGGAAAGTTATCCTCCATGAGTACCACACTGACGTTGCATTTATCCTGCATTAGGATCAGCTCCTAACTGAAGTACATGCTGGTCAATAGCACATTTTTTTTATGTCTTTGCACCCCAAACATAGAAGTGGCCAAACAAACAGCATGATTATGCATCTAATCATTTATGCTGTGTTATAAGCTAATATTAATCAGCAACATGACAACACAACATGCAATAATCCTACTTTAAACCCGTACTTCATTTTGCAGATTAAGCAGAATCCCCTCTCCTGTATAGTGTAATGCATTGCCAAAGAATGGGTTTAGGGGAAACTTGTTGATTCAGCAGTGAGGTTCTACAGGCTGATGGAGCACAGCGTGCTTCCGGAAGACCCCGAGACGTCCTCTGATCAGCAGCCTCCAGCGACACGCCAGAGCGACGGAGAGGGGTCCAGGGCGGCCTAATCCCTTCAATTCTAACCTGGGTGCATTTGAACGGTAAATCTACCATCGCTAGTCTCATATTCGCCGCTCTGCCGTGACTGGGAGCTGATTGTTTTTAAACGAGAGCTGTTATATAATATAATACAGAAAGTTTATTTTGCAAGAAAGAAGAAGGAAAAAAAAAATGTGTCTTATTTTCCAGGAATGGGTAACTGGTTCCCGTAGAAAAGTTTGTCTGGATGCTTTAGAAGCGCGTTGCCAAGCCTGAGTGGACGGTTTCTCTGACCGTCGTGTAAAATAAAAAAAATAAGGTTGCAGATCTGTATAACTTGTAAATGAAATAAGAAGCATGTAAACGTTTTATTTCTGTTGGTTTCTTGGAGCCATTTGAAAAGGCAGAGGCCAGTAATGTTCTGTATTTGTAAAAATAGTATCATGTACTCATATTCACGTGTTAAAGAATCCAAAGTGGATTTTTTCCATCTCTTGAAAATGAACTGACAATTATTTTTTGTTTTGTTTTGTAATCAAAATAAGAATATGTATTAATATATATATATATATAAATCGATATATCACAAACCCCTCCTCCTTCATGACCACTTCATGACTATGGAGTGAATTTTGTCCCATTACTGTTTCAAAAAATAAAAAACACATTTTATAAATGAAAATTTAAAAAATAAAAATTCGAACAAAAAATGCAACTTTAAAAAAATGTATCCAAAGAAAATATGAGTTTTTTGTTTTCTCTGATTTTATTTTTTCCAAAGAAAAAAAACATTAAATTAATAATTAAATAATGATTAGGGGAGTGGCGGCCTAGTTGATTGCATTGACTCACTGACTAGGAGGCAATCCCTCACACCAAGCATGCTGGTAGCGACAGTGGAGAGAAAAAAACTCCTTTTTAACAGGGACAAACCTCCAGTAGAATGAAATAGGGTTATGAATTTGAGCCCCACTCCCACAGACTCCCACTCTGGGTCTCTGAGCAAAGACCCTTAACCCCACACTGCTCCACCATGGCAGCCCACTGCTCCCCAAGGGGAGAGATTAAATGCTGTTAATTTAATTGCTCTGGACTTGTGACAGTGTAATGACAATAAAAGTTGGGGAAAAAACAATGATAACTTATTATTATTATTAGTTAAATTAGTTTTTTATTTTAGTTCACTTTTTCCTATTTACTTTTACTTTCTTTCTTTTCTCATTTTGTGTACAAATAACATTCTTTCCATTTCAAGCCCAATACTAATGCTCTATGGAGTAAATTTTGTTCCATTATTGCAGCAAGTAAAGAACATGTTTTGTTATTGAAAATTTGAAAAAAAAAAAAAAAAAACATTTAAAATTGAAAGCCTTGAAATTGCATTTCAAATGGCCTGCATTCATGTTGGCCACATTTGTATTTTAACATTTTAGTATTTTTATTGGTCCGTTAGGCGTCCAGAGCAGGCATTCGTATTGGGCTTGGAATAAAAGTTCTAAAATGAAATTTGAAAAAAATGTAATGTGAAAAAGATAAACCGTATCTGTAAGAATTTTTGAAAAAATAATGTTTGTAAAAATAAAATGTAGAGATATATGAAAATAAACACAAGGTTACTCCAAAACACCATTGTTTTTTTTTTTTTGTTTAAAATGTTTTTTTCTGGATTGTAATTTTTTTTAACCATCATTTACAAAGCATTTTTTTTTTTTTTTTTATGTTTGTTTCTACTTAAAAATGTGTTGATTGTTCGTAGCAGTAATGGAACAAAATTCAGCCCAAAGAAGGAGAAGGAATAAACTACTAAAGTTGAATTGTTATTGGA